CAGGTAGAATCTGCTTATCTTATCTTTGGAGATCAGAGGAGAGGCAGGCTGCTTCTCAGCAGAGTTTGTTTCCCTTGACTCCAAAGGTCAAGGTGAGGTCCCTGTTGGGGAGGGGGGAAACTGCTGCTGTTTGGAACCCTAACAGTTTTCAAACAACTAGGACTTGCTTTTAGTTGTGTTAAATATATTGAATGTTCTTTATGTCTTAAATTATTAAATCAAGTTTGTTTCACAACTGATGTAAAAACTGAGGCAATAAAGTATATTAATGTCAAAAAAAAAAAAAAAGTCTAACTTCCTCTGCTGGCTGCTGCTGTCTCTGATCCCAGGAGGCAGTCCAGCAGTTTGTCTCCAATAAACTGCTGTGCTCCTTGGAGAGTCAAAAAAAAAGATTCTTTTTTTTTTTGGTCTTTTTGAGAAAGGGTCTCCCTATAGCCACAGCTGGCCTGGATTCACTATGGAGACCAGGCTGGCCTCGAACTCACAGAGATCAGCCTTCCTCTGCCTCCTGAGTGCTGGGAGGCACTAAAGGTATGCACCACCATGCCAGGCAAGATTCTAATAAAATTGTAAAAGCTTCCATTTGGGTCCATTCTTAAATTCTTTTATGAATGAGACTAAACACACTCTAGGGAACCGTCTTTCTCCCTGTTTCACAAACAAAGCCTCTGAAAGGTCATTGGTTATTAGGACACTTTATATCTGGAGCATGCATGGCCTTGGTAGATACATGGGTTCCTATTAATACTGTAGCCTCTTAGTCCAGCAAAATGTGTGGGTACACATCTATCCCTTTCTTACTCCAAGCTAATGGCTGCTTCTTCCTCTCTTCCCTCCATCCCTTCTTTTCATCTTCCTTTTCCTCCTTTCTCCTCTTCTTCTTCCTCATGCTTGGTTTTTTTGAGATAGAATCCTACTCTGTAGCCCAGGCTGGCCTAGAACTTGCAGTGATTCTCCTGCCTCATCCCCGCCAAGTCCTGAGGTGTGTGCCACAACTACACCCAGCACTCTTCTTCCTTTTCCTTCTCCTCCTCTTCCTCTTGTTCCTCTTCTTCCTTTTAAAGAGATAGGTTCTCACTATGTTGCTCAGACTGGCCGTAAACTCCTGGGTTCAAGACAGCCTCCTGTGCAGCTGGGACTATAGGTGTGCACCCACATACGTGGCTCTAAGCTTTTACTTTCTTGGTTGTAGTCTTTCAAATAAAAATCCTTCCTTACAGAAATTCCTTACATAATGGTTTAATGATTTTTTTTTTCATTTTCACTTTCTTTTTAATATTTTTTTATTTGTTTGTATGAGTGGATTTCTTGCATGTGTATAAATGCACTGGGTTATACAATGCCCATGGAGGTCAGAAGAAGGCATTGGATTCCTCTGGAACTGGAGTTACACATGGTTGTTTGCTTCCATGTGGGTCCTGGGAATTGGATCTAGGTCTTCTGCAAGAGCAGCCAGTGCCCTTAACCACTGAGCCATCTCTCTAGCCCCCCACTTTTCACTTTCTCTGATTACATAACCTAGGCCAGCCCAGCCATGCAGAACTACATGCACACACATTAAAATTTCAAGTACCACTAATCAACAGATGTACAGCTCCATATTGATCTATGTTTAGGGCTCAACTTGTGATAAATCTGGCATAAAAATAGGTTATCTGAAAAGAATGACTCTTGGCAATTTGCCATAAAATAATTGCAATAAATATATCATCTGGAGATGATTAGAGCTGTTTAATAATCGCAGCTGATAGAATGTGTAAATTGCAAGAGTCTTAGGTTCCATATATAAATTCCTCAAGACAGCCAAATGGCCCAAATTGGCAGTTTGGCCTTTGACCAGCCCTTATCAACTGGTCACTTCCCTGGCTGACAGAGACTGGCACTTAACTCCTGCTGTGCCATAGCCTGCTTTGGAGGCCCGGCCTTATCAACTGATCACTACAGAGGCTGTTTGCTTGCACAGTCAACCTCAAGTATCCCAAGGTCACTGACGCCTGACAAGGAGCAAATTACTACAGCTGCACTCAACAGAGTCCCTATATGAAAAACAAAATTTTATGCTTATGGATGCTGATGCCTGTATCTGTGAACAGGACACCGGTCCTTTGCTATGTTCTCCTGAATTAAAGAGGACATATTCCTTGCCTGTTGCAGGTCTGGCTCTTGTTCTTATTTCTTAACTTTAAATTCTTTCCTTTTTCTGCTCTCCTAAATCTAACATCAACACCTTCACCAGCGGAGCTGGAAAGGAGCTGTTAGGATAATCTTGTTCCACCCTCTCATCTCATATGTGGGGAACGATTTCAAACTCAGAGAGGTTTAGCATCCTGGCCAACTTCACACAGCCTGAGCTAAAAGATTCACATACTAGGTTTGCAGTTGGGTTGAGCAGATAAGGAATCTTTTGTTCTTGTTTTTTCTGTAAGGATGTTTTTAAGTGATTTTCCTAGTCCAAGCAGCCTTGCAGCCCTGCTCCGAATTCTTTAACTTGTTTTGTTTTGTTATCTCCAGGAAGCTCCAGCTGTGGGGTTGATTGTGGCAACTTTGCTTGTCTGGTCTAGGTCCAGCAAGCTGCCCCACCTCCCCGCCTCTCCCACAGGCTGATGGCTGAGAACAGCTGACTCCACAGAGCTTGCTCATGTGATCACAGCTCCGGGATCTGCTCATGAACTGGAGTGGGTACTCGGAGGGACTCTTTCTGTGGGTTTTACCAGGTAGGCACCCTAGTCCCGAAGGTCCGCAGAGGAACAGTTGTGGGGGCCTTGGGGCAAACCAGGCGTCAGGCTTTGCTGCTTCCGGGCCCTTAACACAGTGGGGACAGATGTGGTTGGCTTAAAGCTGTCCCACAGGGTCCCTACTGGTCCTTCCCCTCCCTTTGTTCCCTAAGTCGAGGAAGGCTGCTCGGCCCTTCCTTCCTCTGTTCTCTGGCCTCCTGCCCCATAACAGACCTTTCCCCTTTCTCTCTGCTGACTTAGCTGTGTGCTACCGGGCGTGGCGGAAGGATTAATTAGTGACAAGCAGCCTCCTCTGTCTGAGCAAGTGACCTGTTGCAGTCAGACGAGCCACTGCACAGCCCAGGAGTCTCTCCCGACTCCTACTTGCTACTGGCCCACCTGCTCTTGCCATGGCATGCCTCCAGGCTCTGCTGTTCCTGTCGCTGTTCCTGTACGGAGCCCTTCGGGTTCCCGCTGAGGTCTGCTGTAAGTAGCCAGCCTCTATCTGGAGCCTGGATTTCAGGGAGGGACGACCAATCCCCTTGTATATTTGGGGAATCTGAGAGTTGGGGGTGGAATGGGGGAACTTTTCTGCCCCCTCAGGTCTCCCAAAGCAGGTTGTGATTAGCTGGACCTCAGTGCTGGACGGAGATTAATGTATCTGACTTCTTTCCGGACAGGATCTCCCCCATTCACCTAGGTGTTTGTTAATTTATTTACTCAACACACATTTACTGAGGCTTCTCTAGGCTAGGTCCAGAATCGAGATTGGAAAAAGGATGAAGGGTGGACAGGTCTGATCCCTGCACTCCTGGAGCTTCCGTTCTAGAGAAGGGGACTGACAAGACATGGGGTGCCAAGTTCAGTTATGGAGAGTGCCACAGAAGAAGCCAACCTGGAGCAACAGCAGAAAGCCACACAGAGACCCATGGAATCAAGGACAGAGGGTGGGAGGGGCCCCATCAGAGCTGAGACCTGAAGGGAGGAAGCCAAGAAGGAAGGGAAGGGGACATACATTCCAGGCAGAAAGAAGGGCCAGTTCCAAGAAGGCCCTGCCTGTTCTAGCAGTTCTAGGGCTGTACTCCCAAGAGATCGCTTGAGAACTCTCAGGGGAGAGTTCTGTCTCAAGCCATCAATCAAGGGACACTCATGCACTTGGGCCAGGTAGAAAGCACAAACAGGCTTGCTTTTCTTCTTCCTTCAGAGTGCCCCACACTGGGTCTCAGGTGACCTTGGGCAAACCCTGAGAGGCAGGTGTCTGGTGAAGTCAAGGGTCAGAGGGGCCAAGTGGCCTGCTCAAGGTGCCCCAGTTTTAGCAAACCTTTTCTAGATTCAATTCTTGGGACTTCAAGCCAGTGTCTGGAGCTTCTGGCCTGTGTCCAAGGGCAACCACACCTGTCATGCTTGGGGCCTTGGTTGTCCAGTTTGTGCCCAGAAATTCTTTCAGCAGGCTTCCCCTCCTACCCACCTGCCTGGCCCAGTTCTCAGCCTTGGAGTGTTAGCCCCTATACTTGACCCTACAAGAGCCCCTACTTTCAGGATCAGGAGAACTTTGGGGGGTTGGGGTGTAGTCCCTTTATCACAGTCTCATTTGTAAACTGGGCTGAGCATGCTCCCCCGGCCCCCCGCAAATTGCTGCATTAAGGTGGATGCAGAGTGGGCTTCTCGGCTTCTGAATGCTAAAGCTGACCAGCCCTCCTATAATAGGAATGGGCAACCCTGTGTGTAGGTGGGGGACCTTGAGCAAGGCCACCTTAATTGTCCTGAGTGAATCTGCCTGGCTCCTTCCTTCTGAGTAGGCTAAATTGTAGTTGGTTATCAGTCCCCCTTTATAGATGATTCCTCATCTTATCGCTTCTAACCCCAACTGATTTAGGTTGGAGGTTAGAGCCTGGGGTGGGGCCTGTGGTCTCCCTAGCCAGTTTCAGGAAAGGGGAAAAGAAAAGCATTCTAGGACCAGGGATGTATCTCAATCAGTAGAGTGCCTGCCTAGCATGAAGTCCTGGGTTCAATCTCCAGCATGGAATAAACTGGCCATGGTAGCATACACCTGTAACCAAGAACACTTGGGAGGTGGAGGCAGGAAGATCAGGAGTTCAAGGTCATTTGGTGACATTGAGTTTGAGGGCAGCCTGAGATGCAGGAGACCCTACCTCGAAAAAAAAAAACAAAAAGCCCTGGAAGACCAGTTGGAAAGATAGAGCTAGAGAAGAGAGACTCAGAGAGAGACAGACAGGTACCTCTAAAGTCCCTCCCTCCCTCCTTCTGAATCTCACTATGATATAGCCCAGGCCTTGAACTTGCAATCCTCTCTCAGCCTTTCAAGTACTGGGATTAGAGGCTTCTGCCACCATGCCCAGCTTGTCCCTGACTGTCTGAATGAACATTTAGTGAGAAACCAGCTAGGTCAGGTCTGGCTCCACACAGTAAAGAATTATTTAGAGTCCACACCAGCAAATGGCCCCCTTACAGCAACAAATATCTGTGACTTTTAGGAAAACAGATATAAGTTGATGAAATTCAAACTCGAGGAGATGGGGCTGCATTCCAGAAACTGGTCCTAGGGCTAGAAGGCCCAGGAAGGCAGGCACAGGACCCTGTGGTAATTCTATTCCTTAGTCCCCTGGAGGAGGGGTCTTCCTGGCATCCTGGGATGCAGCACAGTGCAACACAGATGCTCTAGCATTGGGAAGTTGGAGCAGATAGTGATTGGGAGTCAGTAAATGGGGGCAGAAAATTCACAGTGCCCCCAAGGTAATCTACACTGCCCTGTTCTAAACTTGGACCCTTCTGCAAGGGAGGAAGGCAGTCATCAACTGAAGCTGGGAAATATCCCTGAAGTTTCTGCTTCCAGGATATTTCAGGGTCTTGGTTACACACCTTCAAGTAAATCCCACATACTTAGATAAATGACTGCAAGCTGTGGGCAAGTTGTTAGTAGTTGATCTCCCAATCTCACGCCATTTTCACCTAAACAGAGATGGCAGAAAAAGTGGGTTTTCAAGTTTTGTGTGGGGGAATTTCATCAGACAGCCCCAGGGAACCAGCTGGCAGCTTATAGCCTGTGAGAAGTGGATATGGACCATAGTCTGTGTAAGGGCTGGAGTTTTTGTCAGTGGGCAAAACATGCATTCAGGAGGGTGCCAAAAAGGTGGGGGGTGGGTTGCAGTCTGACAGGCAGTGTGGCTTGCTTTTAAAATACAGTGTGACTCTGAGAGGGTCAAATGAGATGGGTGCCTGGGGCATACACTAGCTTGGCATCTAGTCACATCTGATGGATGGGGTGGTTGCCTGGCAACAGCATCCTTTGATATCTCCCTGGCCCACTCTAATTCATTTTAGAGGATACCTGCTTTCCTTTTTCCCACTGCCTTTCAGGATGGTGGAATTCTCCATACAAGTGGGATATGACTGGATGGCAGTGAGAGTAGGGACCTTTATTCTCTGGAGAAGGCTTATCTGGTAAGGAGGTCAGAGCAGTTGCTTGCTAGTGGCCTGACCCTGAGGCCTCACTTACCCTGTGTCCTTTCTTCAGTAATACCACAGATTGATGGCCAGCTGGTAGAGAAGCTGGGCCAGCGTCTCTTGCCTTGGATGGACCAGATCTCCCCGGAGCACCTGAACCCCAGCATCTATGTCGGTTTGCGACTTTCTAGCCGGCAGGCTGGAGCCAAGGAGGACCTCTATCTACACAGCCTCAAGCTCAATTATCAGCAGTGCCTCCTGGGGTATGCTACTGTCTCTCTTCTTTTACCATGTCTTGTTCCATATTGTAAGAGAGAGTAGACCTGGATTCTGATTGGATCTTTCATGGCTTTTTGACAAACTCTAGGCAAGTTTTGTCTTTTGTAGGCTTTTCTCCATTTATAGAATGAAGGGGTAGGTTTTACTAAATCAGAGACACTGACATGTGCCCCTTGTCCCAAAACTACATCCTCTTGAGCCCAGAAGCAGCAGCTAATTCTGTGTTCCCCGCCTTTGCCTAAAGCAGACATCACTAATCAATGACCACACTCTTATATTGAACCCAGAGACATTTAACATTTAACTCTTTCTGTGGTCTACCTTTATGCCCAAGGCAGACTTCACTAATTCATGACCATGTTCTTTCATGCAGAGTCCAGAAGCGGCGTATATCTGTGCTTTCTTCTAAGGAGTAGTCATTAAGGAGAGGCCTGCTCTGGGGTTGATTGAAGGGATTTGAAAGGTACTGTGAAGTACCTTGCTACTTGAATTCCCTCTCAAGAAATAGATGGAAGGGAGGGAGAGGAAATAAAAGGGGAGAGTGCATGGCCAAACACCCGGTGATCTGGATGTAGGAGCCCTTAGAGTTTAGCCTTAAATTTAATCTATCTTTCTTCTTTTAAGTATCTATGGTATGCACACAAACACAGCTGACTACTAATTCAGAAGTTCATGCAACGTTTCCAACTGTTAGGATATTTTCTACTTTCTGATGGGGGTGGTGGTGTCCCCAAGCTGGGCTTACTAAGATGGTGTTTAATCATAAAGGTGTTATGAACTCCCCTTGTCCTAGGTCTCCCTCCAGTGATGACAACAGTGACTGCCAGATCAAGCCGTCCATGGGCCAGTTGGCCCTCTACCTGCTTGCTCTCAGGGCCAACTGCGAGTTCATTGGGGGCCGAAAGGGTGACAGGCTGGTCTCGCAGCTCAAGAGGTTCCTGGAGGATGAGAAGAAGGCCATTGGGGAGGGGACACCATGTGAGTGGGTGGGGAACATCTAGCAGGGCTCCTCAGATGGTTTTGCTGTTTTTTGTGACAGTCTTACTGTGTAGCCTAGAGTGGCCTCAAACTCATGATCTTTCTCATTAGAGGAGGCTCTTCATGAGGATCAGAGCTTTGGGTTTTCTCTCCAGGCCTCTTTCGCACTCTCTAGCCACCTCAAGTCTACCTAGAAGTGTGGGCTTGACCCAGGTTCCATGCTCAATCCAACCTCTCCTACATCTTATGCACACTCTATTGGCATGCTCAGTCACCAAGACTGACCTGATTACCCACCCCTGGGACGCCTGCACAGCCTTCTTTCTGCTTCCTCCTTAGTTTCTCTCTGCAAACTTTCTGGCCTCCTGACTCAGACCCAAAGCCCAACCGATGGACCAAGGCTTTTCAACATAAACTTGATCATCATACTGCTTAAGCCCTGCAGGGGCCACTCCCTGCTCCATTCACAGCCCCAGGCTCATCCTGTCTGCTCTCTTCTTTCTAGGCATTGGTCTGCTCATTTTTCTGTGAGCTTAAGCTCACAGCGCTCATTGGCCTTCCCTGGGTATTATCCATGCCCCTGTGCCCTTCTAGATCAATCTTATTCTATCTTCCCCTTCCCCCACTCCTACATCATGTCTATAAAGAATCCTGTCTCAACTTCTCAGCCACTTAAAGACTTCTGTTATATGGCTCCAGGAACCATGGGCCACATTTCTGTCATAATCTCTGTCATGAGCATGTGTTGAGCTGTGATCCTCCACTCTGGCCTCCAAGCCCAGAGACTGGCACACATTGGGACCTCAGGCATTGAGGGAATGAAAGATGCTACAGTCTCAAGGAAACATGTTGTAGCATGTAGACCATGGAGTCCCATGAGCTATGGGGCTGCTTGCTCGGAGGAAACAGAAGGAAGTCCTTAGGCCTGACATGGCCCCCTTAACTCCTCACCATTCTCTTCCCAGGGCATAATCATGAAGGCCACCCCCACACCAGCTACTACCAGTACAGCCTTAGTATCCTAGCACTGTGCGTCCACCAGAAGCGGGTCCATGACAGTGTGGTGGGAAAGCTCCTCTATGTTGTGGAACATGACCACCATCTCCAGCAGAGCCACTTCTCTGTGGGTGAGTAGGCAAAATCTTGCCAAGGCTACACTAGCACTCACCTAGCCCCCAGTCCCAGGTGAAGGCCTCCATGTCCTGCCCTTATGGTTACCTTTCCCTGGGACACTTCCTCATCAAATCACTTGGGAGTGAAATGGCTGGTGGGGTCTGTGATCCAGCTTTGAAGCTGGGCTGGGATCCTGACCCTTGACCATCTCACACTCATTGTAGGACACCTCAACCCCCATTAATCAGGCCTTTCTTATAAAATGGCCTCCCAGCAGCATCTCAATAAAAGATGCCTTATAAACAATGGGCTTAGTTCTGAGTACGTATCTATGATCTCAGTACCATCCAGGATGGGGAGTCTGACACCTGAATTTTGATCTGATTCCTCATTGGGTGACCTTTGGCCACCATATCAATTTCTTTTTTATTATTATTATTTTTATTTTATGTGTATGTATGGTCTGCATGTAGGTAACTGTACCCATGTCATGCAATGCCTGTGGAGGTCAGAAGAGGCTGTCAGATCTTCTGGGACTGGAGTTACAGACAGTTGTTAGCTGCCATGTGGGTGCTGGGATTCAAACCTGGGTCTTCTGCAAGAACAACCAGTGTTATTATCTACTGAGCCATCTCTCCAGCCCCTACCATATCCATTTCTTTTTCTTTTTCTTTCTTTCTTTTTTTTTTTTTTTTTTCCTTTTGGGACAGGGTCTCCCTGTAGCCCCAGCTGGCCTGTAACTTGCTATGTAGACCAGGCTGGCCTCAAACTCACAGAGATCTGCCTGCCTCTGCCTCCCGAGTGCTGGGATTAAAGGTGTGCGCCACCACGCCCGGCGTCGACCCATATCCATTTCTTATCATTGTGATACAAGGTCTCTCTCTGCTAGGCCTGAGTTTCCATAGTGGGTGCCTTTCCTAGGGTAGGTAGGATGGAGAAAATGGGTGGTGGGCAGACAGGTGGCCAGAGAGAAAAAGGTAACAGGACCTCTGCCAGCGTCCAAGCAACTCCCCATACCCATTAAATCAGACTGCCTGAGGGTGGACACAGCTGTGGGTAAGCTTCAAACTCTGAGAGCCTGGAGGTGTAGTTCAGTGGTACAGTGCCTAGTATATGTAAGGCTGTAGGTTCAATCTCCAACACCACAAAAATAATATTAATTAATCAGTAAGATAAAGATCCCTCTAAGGGTTCCAGTGTGCCGCCATTCTAGTTTGAGTAGGTGCTGTAGGATCTAGTCCTCTTGAGACTGTTCTCCAATCTCCCCTGCTGACCTGTTGTTCTCAAAGAATAGAGTAACAAATTGAATCAGTTTGTTCAGGCCTAAGAGGGTTCCTGGGACATAGTATGTTCAGTGTCTAGACCTGGGGGGTCCTGGGCAAACCACCCAGATTAGTGTCCCCAGCTGATCTGACTGTGCTGTTTCCCTTTTCAAGCCCTCTGCTGCCCATTGCTACCTGGGCCTGAATCCTAAAGCCCACCTTGCTTGGCTGTATGAAACTATCCAGTTTACCTATCCCCTTAGACACAGAGGCCATGGCTGGCTTGACCTTCACCTGTTTGGAGCGCTTCAATTTCAACCCCAATCTAAGACCACGGATTACCATGGCTATTGGGACAGTGCGAGAGAAGATCCTGAAGGCCCAGACCCCTGAAGGCTACTTTGGAAATGTCTATAGCACTCCACTGGCACTGCAGGTGGGAAAGAAACCCCAGAGCCATAGCCACTCAGGAGGTCAATGGAGGGTGGGCTAGTTAGAAGCTGGAAGACCTGGCTCTTCCCCAGTGACTGACCCACTTCCTCCCTTTCTTCCCCACACTATCACAGCTGCTGATGGCTTCCCCCATGCATGGGGTGGAGCTGGGCACAGCGTGCCTCAAGGCGAGGGCAGCTCTGCTGGCCAGTCTGCAGGATGGGGCCTTCCAGAATGCTCTGATGATTTCCCAGCTGCTACCCATCTTGAACCATAAGACCTACATGGATCTCATCTTCCCAGACTGCCAGGCACCCAGAGGTAGCTGAGCTCTTTACAATATGCTGAGTATTCTTCTGTTTGTGCATCCCAGTGATGGGAGATCACTTGGTCCTGATTTGCTGAGGCAACACAAACTTATGGGTATTCATGGGACAGCAGCTAAAAAGATGTCATAGTCTTTTGATGTTCATGGTGTAGGGACAGATACCAAACAAGGATTTAAGGTTGTGCCTCCTGTGTGATACCCAATGCAGAAATGTTTGAGTGGATGGGTGGATGAGAGTAATAGGGCTCTCTAAAGAAACAGAACTGATAGATATTTATATATATGTAAAGGAGATTTGTTAGATTGGCTTACAGGATATGGTCTAGGTAGTCCAACAATGGCTGACTCATCCTGGAGAGGCTGAGAATCTGGGAATTGCTCAGTCCACGAGGCTGGACGTCTCAGCAGTCCCAATCTGGTGTTGAAGGCCTGGAGGATTCCTGGAGAGCTGCTGGTCTTCAGTCTCTGTTAGAAGCAGGAAGAAGCTGGTTCTAATATCAGCAGAGGAATGCAGCAGCAACAGGATAAATGAACTTGCCAGCAAGAGTGAAAGCAAGCGAGCAAAAAGCAAAATTTCCTTCCCCCTGTCCTTTTATCTGGCTGCCACCAGGTGCTGCCTACATTTAGGGTAGGTCCTTCCACTTCAGATGATCTAATCAAGAAAGTCCCTCATAGGAGTGCCCAGCCACTTGTATTTTAGTTGATTCCAGAGGCCGTCAATTTGACCATAAAGATTACCCATCATGGATGGATGAATGAATGAATGAATGAGTGGCGGGAGGCACATTTGATTAATTACGATACACAAAGAGCCTTAATTCACTACATTGAATTAGGGCATCATTTGGGGGAGGAACTTAAAGTGATGAGTGTGATTCCCCAGATGGGGAAAGAATGGGCAAAGAGAAGGAAGCAAAAACAAAGGCACAGAAAGATCAAGAATTCAGGGGTGTTGCGGGATATGTTCTGCAAAAGAGTCGGTCTTGAGGCTGGAGAGATGGCTCAGCAGTTAAGAACCCTGACTGCTCTGGCAGAGGACCCAGGTCTGATTCCCAGCTCCCACATGGTGGCTAACAACTATCTGTTCAGTTCCAGGGGATCTGACGCCCTCATCTGACCTCCTAGTGCATTGCATGACACAGGTGCACTTACACACATGTAGGCAATACACTCATACACTAAAAATAATAGAATATTTTTTAAAAGAGTGAGTCTATGAAAGATTCTAGAACGAGTGGGTCTGGGAGAGTGAGGAGGAGTGGCAGATAAATGAATAGAAAGAAGTGAGCCCATCAGAGGTATCAGGGAAATGATATGAACAAAGTTGTGTTTTAGAAAGAGCTCTCTGGGATGCAGTGTGGCAGATAGGTGGGAGGGGAGAAGCAGAAACACCAGCAAGGGGTCTAACCTGGGCCATGGAAGGATGTGGCAGCTGGGGCGCAGGAGGCTGGGACGGTAGCCAGGTTTCAGCTGGGCAGGCAGTCATGGCATTGTCTGAGCCAACATAGGGAAGGACGTGGTCCACATGGGCCATGATGTCTGTGAAGAACACAGGACTCCCTATCCTCATGCCGACTGCTCCTTCTTTCTCCTGGTATAGTCATGTTGGTTCCAGCTGTTGCGGATCCTTTGGTCTACCACATCCCAGAGGTCATCAGTGTCACACTGAAGGTTTCCAGTGTCTTACCATCATATAAACAAACCATCTTTGTCCTGGCTGGGTCCTCCTTGGAAGATATCCTGAAGATGGCTCAAGAGCTAGGAGGATTCACGTGAGACTGCCCATCCCACTTCCTAGCCCTCAGCCTCCTCACCATTCCCATGCCTAAAACGGGGTCACAGGAGGGATGGGAGACAGAGGAATTTCTTAGGAGAAGTACTGGCCCAACTTCTGTTTCCACCCTCTGCACTCCTTTCTGACCCATGCTATCATGGAAACAGGAAACTATGGACCATCACTATCATCAAGAGAGTTGACTCCAGAGGAAGAAACTCTGCCCCAGAATCCCAGTTTCCCTGATTCCCCAGCTCTAAGGAGCCAAGATAGTTATTCACCTGAAATTCAGTGAGGGCATGAGGCAGTCTCCTTTTCATAAGGCCAGTGTGAGGACCCCAGGGTCTGTGCACACAGAGGTCACGTGCAGATGTGCTTTGTGTGGGTATAGGGGTTGGAGTGCAGTAAGTGCTTGATACAGGCCAGCTTTCATAAGCAGAAGAGTAGTATTAGTCTTGGTGAAATCTTTTTATTAATTTCCCTGAGGAGTTGGACAATGTCTTTAAACTTGCTTCTCCTGTTGGGCCATGACAAGCCTGTGAATGAGCATAGCCCAGTTGCTGCTTCTTGCTGTCCACACATGTCCACACCTGAAGGTGAACACAATTCTTGTGTCACCAGGGGGGAATCTGGCTCAGGGAAGCTGAATGCCTTCTACCAGGTTACCTGGTCCCCTGACTTCTTGCCTAGAAAGAAGTGCCTTGGTTTGAAAGCACCCAGTTAGAATTCAATAACGGTACCTGCACCCAGCAAGGGCTGAGAACAGGCACCACTTGTGGTCATTTGGGGTAGGATATCTCAGACCAGAGCTATGTAAAGACTCCTGTCTTTAAAGGCCACAAGTGTCCCTAGTTCCCAGGTTAAGTTACTTTTTTTTTTTTGTTTTCCCAGTATGGAGGATTGAACCTAGAGCCTTTTACAGGTTAAGTAAGAGCTACTACTGAGTTATATCAGCCTTCTTTTTATTTTTCATTTGGAAACAAGGTCTGTATTAGTTACTTGTCTTATTGCTGTGACAAAATACCTGACAAGAGCAACTTCAGGAAGGAAGGGGTTATTCTGGCTCACAGTTCTAGGGGATACAGTCCATCATGATGGGGAAGACAAGGCAGCAGGAGGAGGAGGAGGTGGCTGGTCACACTGTGTTCATAGTCAGTAGTACCCGAGGAATGCTGGTGCTCACCTCCCCTTCTTTTAAATTCAGTGTAGGAGCCCAGGCCATGGAATGGTACTATCCATATTTAGGGTGGGCCTTCCTTCAATTATCCTAACCTATAAAATCCTTCACAGACATGCCCAGAAATTTTTTGCCATGGTGACTCTAAATCACATTAAGTTGATGATCAAGATTAGTCATTACACTATCCCGTGAATTTCCCAGGCTGAGGACTGGAGAGACGGCTCAGTGGTTAAGAGCACTAACTGTTCTTGCAGAAGACCTGGGTTTGAATCCCAGCATCTATATGGCAGCTAACAGCCAGGGGATCCAACACCCTCTTCTGACCTCTGTAGGCACTGCATGGTATGGGTACACTTACACACATGCAAGCATAACAGTCATACACACACACACACACACAAAAAATAAGTTAATTAATTAGAAAATCCCAGGCTGGCTTTGAATTTCCCATCCTGCTATACCACCAGGCATGACTTAAGTTACTTCTATAAGATCACTTAGAGGTGTACTAATATGTTTACTTAATATAAAGTATTTTCTTCTTCTATCTCTAGGCAGGCACAAGTCCTAAGCAACCCGGCAAATTGAAATGGAGAAATAGTATATAAAAACAAAACAAAACTCCACCAGCTGTGGTAGTGCGTGCCTGTAATCAGGAGATGGAAGCAGGAAGAGTGTGAGTTTGAAGCTAGCCTGGGCTACATAACAAGACTGTGTCTAAAAACCAAAAATCAAAAAAGAAAATTATTCGAACCAATAACATTTAATGAAGACCCCATTCAAGTACAGATCCTTGTTGCCAAGCCAGTGACCAGCTTTCCTTGTCTGTGAGCCTCTGTTGGGCTGAGTCTGCTCAGGCTGCCACACCTTCCTAGCCTCTTTCCCAGCCCTAGTGCTTCATTCACTGATTCTGTTGAGACAGAGTCTTACTCTGTAACCCAGCTGGCCTGGAGCTCCCTATGTAACTCAGGCTGAGTTCAAATTTGCATCTCTTCTCCTACCTCAGCCTCCCAAGTGCTGGGATTGCAGGTGTTAGCCACCATGCTCAGCTTCATTTATTGTTATGCTCACCCTGTTCTCTTCCTGGTCAGTCCCCTACAAAGTGCAGAGAGGTGCTGCTGGATGTCAACCCCGATCACCACATGCGTGCCCAGTGCTCTTGGCAGGGCTCAGTTTAGCAGACATGGAGATTACCCAGTACCTGTCAGTATTTGGGTTTAGATGTTGAGTCAAAATGAAGAACAAATAGAATTTCACACTTTTTATTCAGATCTTTGAGGACCCCTGAGAGGCCACTGTGGATACCAATCTGATAAATTGTTCTTTTGTTAGAATAGGTGGCTGCCTGAAGTGAGTTCAAGGGCCAGGCAGGAAGACTATGTGGGAGGCCTAGAAATTCACAGCAAACTAAACTGCAGAGACAGACAGACAGACAGACAGACAGGTGTGGAGCGAAGTGGCCCAAGAAGCTATGTAGTCAGATCACTTAGTGTTTAAGAGTTTGTACTGCTTTTGCAGAATGTGAGTTCATTTCCCAGCATCCAATGTTAGGTGGTTCACAACTGCCTGTAACTCCAGGGTCCAGGGGACTGCCCTCTTCTGACCTCCACAGGCATCTACACTCATGTGTACAAACCCACCCCCATCCCCACATAATTTTTTAATAAATGAAAGGACTCTCTGTGACATTCCCTAAACTAATTTATTTCTGCCATATCTGCAATTTTCATATTCACAAATTCAACCAACTTGAATGGAAAATAGATTTTAAAAAACTGTATCAGTGCTAACTTTTCCTTGTTAATGCAGTATAATAACCATTTACATAGTACCTACATTGCATTAGATAATATAATCTAGAGATGATGTAATATATACAGGAAGATGTACACAAGGCCTGTGCAAATACTCCACTTATATGAGCATCCTTGGATTTTAGTATTTGCCAGGGAGCCCTAGAGCCAATTCTCTGGATTGGTGATTGTACTTTCTCTTTGCCTAAATCACCAGAATAGGTTTCTGTGTTTGTGATGCGTGTGTTCTTGGAGATTGAACTTAGTATATCACACATGCTAGGCAGTACTCAACCACTAAGCTACATCCTTAGTCCTCTCTTTTTTACTTTAGATTGTTTTCCCTTGAATTTTCTATGTAGCCAAAGATGATTTTGAATATTGACTCCTAAATGTTGGAATTATAGTCATGTACCACTAAATCAGTTTATACAGTGGTGGGGATCAAACCTAGGGCTTCATGCATGCTAGGCAAGCACTCTTCTCACAGTCCCAGTCCCCCAAATTTTCAAAAATTTGGGACAGTTTTTTTGTTTTTTGTTTTTGAGACAGGGTTTTGTAAGTTGCCCAGACTGGCTTTAAACTTGCTCTGTACTTAGCTCTGGAAATTGTTATTGAATATGTCAATGCTGTTGTAATGAAATGCTTCTTCTAATTATATGGTTAAAAAATAATTACCAAAAAAACAAAAAAAAACCCAAACTTACTCTGTAATCCAGATAGACCTCAAATTTTTAGTCCACTTACCTCAGCCTCCCCAAGTAGCTTGGATGACAGGCCTGGACCACCAAACCTAGTTGGTTTATGCTTCTTTATATATATATATATA